GTAGGTATCTATATATTTTTATCTATCTATAGACGTATCAATCTAGTATATATATGTATGTAGGTATCTATATATATCTATATGAATCTATCTATCTATATGGTATATATGTATGTAGGTATCTATATATTTATATATCTATCTATAGACGTAGCTATCTAGTATATATATATGTAGGTAGGTATCTATATATTTCTTATGTATGTATCTATCTATCTATAGACGTATCAATCTAGTATATATATATATGTAGGTATGTATCTATATATTTCTTATCTATCTATAGACGTATCAATCTAGTATATATATGCATGTATGTAGGTATCTATATATTTCTTATGAATCTATCTATCTATATGGTATATATATGTATGTAGGTATATATATATTTCTTATCTATCTATATATCTATCCATCTAGTATATATGTATGTACATATCTATACATTTCTTATGTATCAATTTATCTATCGACGTACATACCTATCTAGCATATATGTATGTATATATACATATGTAGGTTTCAATATATTTTTATCTATCTATCTATCTATCTATCTATCTATCTATCTATATCTATCTATCTCTGTGACGTATCTATCTAGCATATATGTAGGTAGGTATCTATAGATTTCTTATGTATTTATCTATCTAGTATATAGGTAGGTAGGTAAGTAGGTCTCTATATATTTATTATCTATCTATCTATCTATCTATATCTATCTATATCTATAGACGTATCTATCTATCTGGTATATATGTATGTAGGTAGGTACGTAGGTTTCTATACATTTGTCTATACATTTCTTACCTATCTATTATATATGTAGGTAGGTAGGTATCTATATAATTCTTATGTATCAATCTATCAATGTATCTATCTATCTATCTATAGACGTATCAATCTAGTATATATGTAGGTAGGTAGGTACGTAGGTTTCCATACATTTATCTATACATTTCTTATCTATCTATTATATATGTAGCTAGGTAGGTAGGTATCTATATATATCTTATGTATCTATTTATCTATCTATCTATCTATCTATCTAGTATATATGTATGTATGTACATATCTATATTTTTTATGTACATCAATCTATGACTATCTATAGAAATATCTATCTATATCTATTTATCAATCAATCAAGTATATATGTAGGTAGGTAGGTAGGTATCTATATATTTCTTATGTATCTATCAATCTATCAATGTATCTATAGACGTATCTATCTATCTAGTATATATGTATGTACATATCTATACATTTCTTATGTATCAATCTATCTATCTGGACATATCTATCTAGTATATATGTAGGTAGGTATCTATATATTTATTTATTTATTTATTATGTATGTATGTATGTATGTATCTCTATTATCTATCTATCTATCTATCTATCTATCTATCTATAATCTATAGACATATCGATCTAGTATATATATGTATGTAGGCATCTATATATTTCTTATGAATCTATCTATCTATCTATCTGGTATATATGTATGTAGGTAGGTAGGTATCTATATATTTCTTATCTATCTATAGACGTATCAATCTAGTATATATATGTAGGTAGGTAGGTATCTATATATTTCTTATGAATCTATCTATATGGTATATATGCATGTAGGTATCTATATATTTCTTATCTATCTATAGACGTATCAATCTAGTATATATATGTAGGTAGGTATCTATATATTTCTTATGAATCTATCTATCTATATGGTATATATGTATGTAGGTATCTATATATTTCTTATCTATCTCTAGACGTATCAATCTAGTATATATATGTATGTAGGTATCTATATATTTCTTATGAATCTATCTATCTATATGGTATATATGTATGTAGGTATCTATATATTTCTTATCTATCTATAGACGTATCAATCTAGTATATATATATATGTAGGTAGGTATCTATATATTTCTTATCTATCTATAGACGTATCAATCTAGTATATATATGTAGGTAGGTATCTATATATTTCTTATGAATCTATCTATCTATATGGTATATATGTATGTAGGTATCTATATATTTCTTATCTATCTCTAGACGTATCAATCTAGTATATATATGTATGTAGGTATCTATATATTTCTTATGAATCTATCTATCTATATGGTATATATGTATGTAGGTATCTATATATTTCTTATCTATCTATAGACGTATCAATCTAGTATATATATATGTAGGTAGGTATCTATATATTTCTTATCTATAGACGTATCAATCTAGTATATATATATTTATGTAGGTAGGTATCTATATATTTCTTATGAATCTATCTATCTATATGGTATATATGTATGTAGGTATCTATATATTTCTTATCTATCTATAGACGTATCAATCTAGTATATATATATGTAGGTAGGTATCTATATATTTCTTATCTATCTATAGACGTATCAATCTAGTATATATATGTATGTAGGTATCTATATATTTCTTATGAATCTATCTATATATATGGTATATATGTACGTAGGTATCTATATATTTCTTATCTATCTATAGACGTATCAATCTAGTATATATATGTATGTAGGTGTCTATATATTTCTTATGAATCCATCTATCTATATGGTATATATGTAGGTAGGTATCTATATATTTCTTATCTATCTATAGACGTATCAATCTAATATATATATATGTAGGTAGGTAGGTATCTATCTATCTTTCTATCTATCTATCAATCAGTCTATAGATGTAACTATCTAGTATATACATATGTATGTAGGTATGTAGGTAGTTATCTATATATTTCTTATGTATCTATCCATCTATCTAGTATATATGACTGTGTGTATGTACGTATCTATATTTTTACGTATCAATCAATCAATGACTCTATAGAACTATCTATCTATCTATATCTGTCTAGTATATATGTATGTAGATAGGTAGGTATCTATACATTTCTTATGTATCTATCAATCTATCTATCGATCTATGGACATATCTGTCTATCTGGTTTATATGTAGGTAGGTAGGTATATATATAGTTCTTATGTATCTCTCAATCAATCAATCAATCAATCTATAGACGTATCTATCTATCTACTATATATGTATGTATTTATGTATGTAGGTTTCTATACATTTCTTATGAATCTATCTATCTGGTATGTAGGTATTTATTTATTTCTTATCTATCTATCTATAGACGTATCAATCTAGTATATATATATGTAGGCAGGTAGGTATCTATATATTTATTATCAATCAATCAATCAATCTATAGATGTAGCTATCTATCTAGTATATACATATATATATATGTAGGCAGGTAGGTATCTATATATTTATTATCAATCAATCAATCAATCTATAGATGTAGCTATCTATCTAGTATATACATATATATATATATGTAGGCAGGTAGGTATCTATATATTTATTATCAATCAATCAATCTATAGATGTAGCTATCTATCTAGTATATACATATATATATATATGTAGGCAGGTAGGTATCTATATATTTATTATCAATCAATCTATAGATGTATCTATCTATCTGGTATATATGTAGGTAGGTATGTATCTATATATATATATATATATATATATATAATATATATATAATATAATAATAATAGCAATAAACTATAACTATAGTTTCTATAAATATAAATATAGTTTATATAAATATAAATATAAATAAATATAAATATAGTTTATTTATAGCGAATTCCTATTCTTATTTCTTTTGCTATTCTTATTCTTTATTTCTATAAACTATATTTATATTTATATAGAGTTTCTAGAAATAGAGTATCGCCTATATAAATAAATAATAGCAGAATAAATAAGAATAAGAATAGCAATAAGCTATAAATTATATAAATATAGTTTATATAAACATAAATATAGTTTATAGAAATAAAGAATAAGAATAGCAAAAAATAAGAATAGCGATAAACTATATAGTTTATATAAATATAAATATAGTTTATAGAAATAAAGAAGAATAGCAAAGTAAATCATAAGAAGAATAGCGATAAACTATAAATATAGTTTATATAAATATAAATATTGTTTATAGAAATAAAGAAGAATAGCAAAACAAATAAGAAGAAGAATAGCGATAAACTATAAATATAGTTTATATAAATATAAATATCGTTTATAGAAATAAAGAAGAAGAATAGCCAAAGAAATAATAAGAAGAATAGCGATAAACTATAAATATAGTTTATATAAATATAAATATCATTTATAGAAATAAAGAATAAGAATAGCAAAATAAATAATAAGAGGAATTCGCTATAAATAGAGTTTCTAGAAATAGACTATCGTCTATAGAAATAAATAATAGCAAAAGAAATAAGAATAAGAATAGCAATAAGCTATAAACTATATAAATATCGTTTATAGAAATAAAGAAGAAGAATAGCAAAGGAAAGAAGAAGAATAGCGATAAACTATAAATATAGTTTATATAAATATAAATATAAGAAATAAAGAATAAGAATAGCAAAAGAAATAATAAGAGGAATTCGCTATAAATAGAGTTTCTAGAAATAGAACATCGTCTATATAAATAAATAATAGCAAAATAAATAAGAATAGCAATAAGCTATAAATTATATAAATATAGTTTATATAAACATAAATATAGTTTATAGAAATAAAGAATAATAATAATAGCAAAAGAAATAATAATAAGAATAGCAATAAGCTATAAATTATATATAGTTTATATAAACATAAATATTTTTATAGAAATAAATAATAATAATAGCAAAATAAATAATAATTATAATAGCAATAAGCTATAAACTATATTTATACCAATAAATATAAATAAGTATAAATATATTTAAATATAAATATATATTTAAATATAAATATAAACATATTTATACACATATAGATACCTTATCTAAATAAATAATAAGAATCAGAACAGCAAAATGAATAATGATAATAATATTAAGAATAATAAACGAGGCGAAAAGACACACAGGAGACGAGTTCGAGTCTCGGTTTATTCACACACAGCAAGCGTGACAGTAGATAACATTTTCTTTATGTGTTTTAAATACAGTACAATATTCCGGAACGTTCTCCCATCGCCACGACATTTATATAAAAATAGTGTGTTGCTACAAAAGTGTAAATTAAGACCCAAACTCAGGAGGATTTGCAGAAAAATATCCCTTCCTAGCGGTAGAAAAAACAGCTCTGGCCTCAAAAATATGGATTTTTTCCCTCCCCAACCCCAGTATATATTTTCATTTAAATCTGATTTTTCTCTGCCATTTCTCCCCTCGAAAACCCCGCAAAATTCGCACCCGGGGCGGCGATTTTATTCTTTTATTCTCTATTATTTTCACTTAAATCTGAATTTTCTCTGCCTTTTTGTCCCTTGAAAACCCCGCAAAATCCGCACCCGGGGCGGCCATTTTATTATTTATTATTTACATTATTCTTATTATTTCTCGGGGCAAGAACAGAAAATTCGCAGCCGGGGCGGCGATTTTATTATTTATTATTTACATGATTTTTATTATTTCTCGGAGCAAGAAGAGAAAATTCGCACTCGGAGCGGCAATTTTATTATTTAAGATTTATATTATTTTTCAGGGTATTTTTATTGTTTTTCGGGCAAGAACAGAAAATTCGCACCCGGGGCGGCAATTTTATTATTTATTATTTACATTATTTTTATTATTTCTCGGGGCGAGAACAGAAAATTCGCAGCCGGGGTGGCAATTTTATTATTTATTATTTAATATTTCTATTATTTCTCAGGGTATTTTTATTGTTTTTCGGGGTAAGACCAGAAAATTCGCACCCAGGGCGGTGATTTTATTATTTACATTATTTTTATTATTTCTCGGGGCAAGAACAGAAAATTCGCAGCCGGGGCGGCAATTTTATTATTTAATATTTCTATTATTTTTCAGGGTATTTTTATTGTTTTCCGGGGTAAGAGCAGAAAATTCGCACTCGGGGCGGCGATTTTATTGTATTATTATTTTTAATATTTTTCAGGGTAAGAACAGAAATGGATTAAAGGAGTGATGGACCGAATAATAATAATAATAATAATAATAATACAATAAATTTTCAGGGGCAGCAATTTTATTATTTATTATTTAATATTTATATTATTTCTCAGGGTATTTTTTATTGTTTTTCGGGGTAAGAACAGAAAATTTGCACCCAGGGCGGCAATTTTATTATTTTATTACTTATTTAATTTTATTATTTTTGGGGGTAAGAACAGAAAATTCTGATTTTCTCTGCCATTTCTTTCCTTGAAAACCTCGCAAAATTTGCACCCGGGGCGGCAATTTTCTGATTTTATTACTTATTTTTATTATTTTTCGGGGGAAGAACAGAAAATTCGCACTCGGGGCGGCCATTTTATTATTTAATATTTACATTATTTTCCAGGGTATTTTTATTGTTTTTTGGGGCAAGAACAGAAAATTCTGATTTTCTCTGCCATTTCTTTCCTTGAAAACCCTGCAAAATTTGCTTTATTATTTTATTACTTTTTAATTATTTTTCGTGGGAAGAACAGAAAATTCGCACTCGGGGCGGCCATTTTATTATTTAATATTTACATTATTTTTTCAGGGTGTTTTTATTGTTTTTCGGGGCAAGAACAGAAAATTCTGATTTTCTCTGCCTTGAAAACATTGCAAAATTTGCTTTATTATTTTATTACTTTTTAATTATTTTTCGTGGGAAGAACAGAAAATTCGCACTCGGGGCGGCCATGTTATTATTTAATATTTACATTATTTTTTCAGGGTGTTTTTATTGTTTTTCGGGCAAGAACAGAAAATTCTGATTTTCTCTGCCTTGAAAACATTGCAAAATTTGCTTTATTATTTTATTACTTTTAATTATTTTTCGTGGGAAGAACAGAAAATTCGCACTCGGGCGGCCATTTTATTATTTAATATTTACATTATTTTTTCAGGGTATTTCTATTGTTTTTCGGGGCAAGAACAGAAAATTCTGATTTTCTCTGCCTTGAAAACATTGCAAAATTTGCTTTATTATTTTATGACTTTTTAATTATTTTTCGTGGGAAGAACAGAAAATTCGCACTCGGGGCGGCCATTTTATTATTTAATATTTACATTATTTTTCAGGGTATTTTTATTGTTTTTCGGGGTCAGAACAGAAAATTCTGATTTTCTCTGCTATTTCTTTCCTTGAAAACCCTGCAAAATTGGCTTTATTCTTTTATGACTTTTTAATTATTTTTCGGGGCAAGAACAGAAAATTCTGATTTTCTCCGCCATTTCTTTCCTTGAAAACCCTGCAAAATTTGCTTCATTATTTTATTACTTTTTAATTATTTTTCGTGGGAAGAACAGAAAATTCGCACTCGGGGCGGCCATTTTATTATTTAATATTTACATTATTTTTCAGGGTCTTTTTATTGTTTTTCGGGGTAATTTATTGTTTTTCAGTGGGTTTTGGGGACTCCAACTCCCATGATCCTTAGCAAATGGGTGCGGTTAATTTTGGGACTCCGACTCCCATGATCCTTTGCTAACAGGGCCAGTGGATTTTGGGACTCCAACTCCCATGATTCTTTGGTTGTGGGACTCCAACTCCCATGATCCTTAGCTAACAGGGCTGACTGGTTTTGGGACTCCAATTCCCATGATTTAGTGGGTTTCCGGACTCCAATTCCCATAATCCTTAGCTAATGGGAGCAGTTGGTTTTGGGGACTACAACTCCCAAGAGCCTTAGCTAACAGGGCCAGTGGTTTGGGGGACTCCAACTCCCATGAGCCTTTGCTAACAGGGCTGGAGGTTGTGGGACTTAATTCTCTGGATCTTTGGGGACTACAATTCCCATGATCCAGTGGGTTTTGGGACTCCAACTCCCATGATCCTTTGCTAAGAGGGAAGGTTGGTTTTGGTACTACAACTCCCATAATCCTTAGCTGATGGGAGCAGTTGGTTTTGGGGACTCCGACTCCCATGATCCTTAGCTAACAGGGCTGGTTGGTAGTGGGACTATGACTCCCATGATCCTTTGCTAACAGGGCCAGTGGGTTTGGGGACTCCAACTCCCATGAGCCAGTGGGTTTTGGGACTCCAATTCCCATGAGCCAGTGGGGTTGGGGACTACAACTCCCATGATCCAGTGGGGTTTGGGGACTACAATTCCCATGATCGTTTGCTAAGAGGGCTGGTTGGTTTTGGTACTACAACTCCCATAATCCTTAGCTAATGGGTGCGGTTAATTTTGGTACTACAACTCCCATGATCCTTAGCTAATGGGTGCAGTTAATTTTGGGACTCCGACTCCCATGATTCTTTGGTTGTGGGACTCCAACTCCCATGAGCCAGTGGGCTTTGGGGACTCCAACTCCCATGATCCTTAGCTAAGAGGGCTGACTGGTTTAGGGACTCCAATCCCCATGATTTAGTGGGTTTCCGGACTACAATTCCCATAATCCTTAGCTAATGGGAACAGTTGGTTTTGGGGGACTCCCATGATCCTTTGCTAACAGGGCTGATTGGTAGTGGGACTCTGACTCCCATGATCCTCAGCTGACAAGTACAGTGGATTTTGGGACTCCGACTCCCATGAGCCTTAGCTAACAGGTCCAGTGGGTTTGGGGACTATAATTCCCATGATCCTTAGCGAATGGGTGCAGTTAATTTTGGGACTCCGACTCCCATGATCCTTTGCTAACAGGGCCAGCGGATTTTGGGACTCCAACTCCCATGATCCTTTGGTAATGGGAGCAGTTGGTTGTGGGACTCCAACTCCCATGAGCCAGTGGGCTTTGGGGACTCCAACTCCCATGATCCTTTGCTAACTGGGCTGGTTGGTAGTGGGACTCTGACTCCCATGATCCTCAGCTAACAAGTACAGTGGGTTGTGGGACTACGACTCCCATGATTCTTTGCTCACAGGAGCAGTTACTTTGGGACTCCAACTCCCATGATCCTTTGCTAAGAGGGCTGGTTGGTTTTGGTACTACAACTCCCATAATCCTTAGCTGATGGGAGCAGTTGGTTTTTGGGACTCCGACTCCCATGATCCTTTGCTAACAGGGCCAGTGGATTTTGGGACTCCAACTCCCATGATTCTTTGGTTGTGGGACTCCAACTCCCATGAGCCAGTGGGGTTTGGGGATACCAACTCCCACGATCCTTTGCTAAGAGGGCTGGTTGGTTTTGGTACTACAACTCCCATAATCCTTAGCTGATGGGAGCAGTTGGTTTTGGGGACTCCGACTCCCATGATCCTTAGCTAACAGGGCTGGAGGTTTTGGGACTACAAGTTCCATGATCCTTAGCTAAGAGGGTCAGTGAGTTTGGGGACTACAATTCCCATGAGCCAGTGGGGTTTGGGGGACTCCAACTCCCATGATCCTCAGCTAACTGGGCTGGTTGGTATTGGGACTACGACTCCCATGATTCTTTGCTCACAGGAGCAGTTACTTTGGGACTCCAACTCCCATGAGCCAGTGGGGTTTGGGGATACCAACTCCCACGATCCTTTGCTAAGAGGGCTGGTTGGTTTTGGTACTACAACTCCCATAATCCGTAGCTGATGGGAGCAGTTGGTATTGGGGACTCCGACTCCCATGATTCTTAGCTAACAGGGCTGGAGGTTTTGGGACTACAAGTTCCATGATCCTTAGCTAAGAGGGTCAGTGAGTTTGGGGACTACAATTCCCATGAGCCAGTGGGGGTTGGGGACTCCAACTCCCATGATCCTCAGCTAACTGGGCTGGTTGGTATTGGGACTACGACTCCCATGATTCTTTGCTCACAGGAGCAGTTACTTTGGGACTCCAACTCCCATGAGCCAGTGGGGTTTGGGGATACCAACTCCCACGATCCTTTGCTAAGAGGGCTGGTTGGTTTTGGTACTACAACTCCCATAATCCTTAGCTGATGGGAGCAGTTGGTTTTGGGGACTCCGACTCCCATGATCCTTAGCTAACAGGGCTGGAGGTTTTGGGACTACAAGTTCCATGATCCTTAGCTAAGAGGGTCAGTGAGTTTGGGGACTACAATTCCCATGAGCCAGTGGGGTTTGGGGACTCCAACTCCCATGATCCTCAGCTAACTGGGCTGGTTGGGTATTGGGACTACGACTCCCATGATTCTTTGCTCACAGGAGCAGTTACTTTGGGACTCCAACTCCCATGAGCCAGTGGGGTTTGGGGATACCAACTCCCATGATCCTTTGCTAAGAGGGCTGGTTGGTTTTGGTACTACAACTCCCATAATCCTTAGCTGATGGGAGCAGTTGGTTTTTGGGACTCCGACTCCCATGATCCTTTGCTACCAAGGATGGAGGTTTTGGGACTCCGAGTTCGAGCTTGGGCCCCCAGTTCAAGTTCAGAGTTCGAAATCAGCCCCGAGTTTGAGTTTGGCCACAATTTCAGCCCTGAGTTCAAGTTTGGCTCCGAGTTCGAGCTTGGGCCCCGAGTTTAACTTCAGAGTTCGAAATCAGCCCCGAGTTCAACCGCAATTTCAGCCCCGAGTTCAAGTTCGGCCCCGAGTTCGAACTTGAGCCCTGAGTTCAAGTTTGGAGTTTGAGATCAGCCCCAAGTTCAGGTTCGGCCCCAAATTCAACCCTAAGTTAGGGTTTGGCTCAGAGTTCGAGCTTGGGCCCCAAGTTCAAGATCAGAGTTCGAAATCAGCCCCGAGTTCGGCCCCAATTTCAGCCCCGAGTTCAAGTTCGGCTCCGAGTTCAAGTTCGGAGTTCGAGATCAGCCCCAAGTTCGAGTTTGGCCCCAATTTCAGCCCCGAGTTAAAGTTTTAAAGTTTGGCTCCGAGTTCGAACTTGGGACCTGAGTTCAAGTTCAGAGTTCAGTTCCAGCCCTGAGTTCGAGTTCGGCCCCAAATTTGGCCCCGATTTCAAGTTGGGAGTTCGAGTTCAACCCCGACTTTGATCGCAAGTTCACCCCCGAGTTCGAGTTCGGCCCTAAGTTCAATCTCAAGCTCATTTAGGCCCCGAGTTCTGAGTTTGAATTCCACCCCCAGCTTGGAGTTTGAGTTGGAGTTCAGCCCCGACTTCGAGTTTGGAATTTGAGTTCAGGTTCAAGCCTGAACTTCGATCCCAAGTTCGGGCCCCGAGTTCAAGATCAGAGCTTGAGTTGGATTTCAGCCCCAAGTCAAGAGTTTGGGTCCGAATTCAAGTTGGAGTTCAGGTCTGAATTTGAGTTCGGTCCCCACCCGGGTTCAACCCTGAATTCAGCTCCGAGCCTCGAGATCCGCCCCGACTTTAGGTTCGAGTTCCGTTTCAGTTCAGTTTGAGCTCAGAGCCGAGTTTGAGTTCAGCCCCAAGTTTGGGTTTGAGTTCTGGTTTGAGTTCAGGTCCGAGTTTGGTCTGAGTTCCGGTTCAGCCCAGAGTTCAGGTCTGAGTTCAGTCCTGAATTTCAGTTCGACCCCAAGTTCATTCCCAAATTCCATTTCGAGTTCTGGTTCGGCCTCAAGTTCGAGTTCAGGTCTGAGTTCGGCCCCGAGTTCAAGTCTGTCCCACGAAAGAAGGGAATTCTTGGCCCCGCCCCCTCCCCGAATTTGAGTTCAGATCTGAGTTCGGGTTCAATCCCGAGTTTGGGTTCAGCCCCAAGTTTGGGTTTGAGTTCGGTTTCGGCCCCGAATTCGAGTTCAGGTCTGAGTTCAAATTCAGCCCCGAGTTCAAGTTTGGAGTTTGAATTCAACCCCAACTTCCACCCCCAGTTCAGGTCCCGAGTTCAAGATCAGAACTTGAATTTGAATTCAGCTTTGAGTTAAGAGTTTGGCTGCGAGTTTGGGTCCGAATTCGAGTTTGAGTTCAGCCCCAAGTTAGGGTTCAAGTTCCTGTTTGAGTTCAGGTTCGAGTTTGGTCCCGAATTTGAGTTCAACCCCGAGTTTGAGTTCAGCCCAAGTCCGCCATCTGCCCCGAGTTCAGTTTTGAGCTGAAGTTCGGCCCACAGTTCAGGTCCCAAGTTGAGTTCAGCTCCCAGTTCCATTTCGGCCCCGAGTTTGAGTTCAGCCCTGAGTTCGGCCCCGAATTCAGGTCTGAGTTCAAGTTCGGTCCCAAATTTGAGTTGAGCCCCAAGCTTGGTTCTGAGTTCTGGTTCGGCCCCGAGTTCGGGTTCAAAGTTTGGGTTCGAGTTCAGGTCTGAGTTAGAGTTCGGTCCCGAATTCGGGTTCAACCCAGAGTTTGAGTTCAGATCCAAGTTCAGGTCTGAGTTCAAGTTCGGTCCCGAATTCGGGTTCAACCCCGAGTTCAACCCCAAGCTTGGGTTCGAGTTCCTGTTTGAGTTACGGGTTCGAGTTTCTGTTCGCAGCTCAACCCCGAGTTCGGGTTCGAATTCAGATCTGCGTTCCATTTCGCCCCCCTCCCTCAGCCCCCGAATTTGGAGTTCATATCCCAGTTCAGCTCTGGGTTCTGTTTTGGCTGCGAGTTTGAGTTCAGATGTGAGTTCGAGTTCGCTACCAAATTTGGGTTCAACCCTGAGCTCAGGTCTGAACTGGAGTTCAACCCCGAGTTTGAGTTCAGCCCCAAGTTTGGGTTTGAGTTCCCATTTGAGTTCTGGTTCGGCCCAGAGGTTGAGTTCAGATTTGAGTTCGGCCCCGAATTCAGGTCCGAGTTCGGGACTGAGCTCAAGTTCGGCCCCAAGTTCGGTCTGAGTTTGAGTTCAGCCCTGAGTTCAGCCCTCAGTTTGGGTCTGAATTCTAGTTCAGGTCTGAGTTCGGTCCCAAATTCAGGTCTGAGTTCGGGACTGAGCTCAAGTTCGGCCCCAAGTTCGGTCCGAGTTTTGAGTTCAGCCCTCAGTTTGGGTCTGAATTCTAGTTCAGGTCTCAGTTCGGTCCCAAATTCAGGTCTGAGTTCGGGACTGAGCTCACGTTCGGCCCCATGTTCGGTCTGAGTTCGAGTTCAGCCCTGAGTTTGGGTCTGAATTCTAGTTCAGGTCTCAGTTCGGTCCCGAATTTGGGTTCAACCCCAAGTTTGAGTTCGAGTTCCGCTCCAAGTTCGAGTTCAGTCCTGAATTCCACCCCGAGTTGGAGTTCCGCTTCAAGTTCAGGTCTGAGCCCGAGTTCCAAGTTCAGCCCCAAGTTTGGCTTCGAGTTCCCATTCGAGTTCTGCTTTGGCTCAGAGTTTGAGTTCAGTTCTGAGTTCAGGTTCAACCCTGAGTTTGAGTTCAGATCCGAGGTTGGGTTCGAGTTCCGCGTCAATTAGGGCCCCACGTTCGAGTTCAACCCCAATTCAGCCCCATACAACCCATAGAACTATATACACCCCAAACCCAGCGCCGCGCTACGTTTCCCACCCCATTCGAGCCCGAGTTCGAATTGCAGTCTGAGTTCGAATTGTAGTTCGGGTTCGATTGTAGTTCGGCTCGTCCCCGAACCCCATCAGTGCTGGTAGTTGGCGCCCGGGCGCAGGTCCAACAACATGGCCGCCTTGTGTGCGGGCGCAACTTGAACTTGAACTCGGGGCTGAACTTGAACTCATCTGAATTCGGACCTGAACTCGAACCCGGGGCCGAAATGGAACTCGAACCGGAACTCGCGGCTGAAGTTGTGGCCAGACCTGAACTCAGGGCTGAACTACAATTCAGACCCAAACTCAGACCTGAACTCGGTGCTGAACTTGGGGCCGAACTACAATTCAGACCCAAACTCAGAGCTGAACTCGGGGCTGAATTTGTGCCCGGACCTGAACTCAGGGCTGAACTACAATTCGGACCTGAACTCAGGGCCGAACTACAATTCAGATCCAAACTCACACCTGAACTCGGAGCTGAATTTGTGCTCACACCTGAACTCAGGGCTGAACTACAATTCAGATCCGAACTCGGACCTGAACTCAGGGACGAACTACAATTCAGACCCAAACTCAGAGCTGAACTTGGGGCTGAATTTGTGGCTGGACCTGAACTCAGGGCCGAACTACAATTCAGACCCGAACTCGGACCTGAACTCAGGGCCGAACTACAATTCAGATCCAAACTCACACCTGAACTCGGAGCTGAATTTGTGCCCAGACCTGAACTCAGGGCTGAACTACAATTCAGATCCGAACTCGGACCTGAACTCAGGGCCGAACTACAATTCAGACCCAAACTCAGAGCTGAACTTGGGGCTGAATTTGTGGCTGGACCTGAACTCAGGGCCGAACTACAATTCAGACCCGAACTCGGACCTGAACTCAGGGCCGAACTACAATTCAGATCCAAACTCACACCTGAACTCGGAGCTGAATTTGTGCCCAGACCTGAACTCAGGGCTGAACTACAATTCAGACCTGAACTCAGGTCCGAACTACAATTCAGACCCAAACTCACACCTGAACTCGGAGCTGAATTTGTGCCCAGACCTGAACTCAGGGCCGAACTACAATTCAGACCGAAACTGGGAGCTGAAGTTCGAGTTCAACCCCAAGTTTGAGTTTGAGTTCAGGTCTGAATTCTGCTCTGAGTTTGACCTCAAGTTCAGGTTCAACCCCGAATTACAGCTCAACCCCAATTCAGTTCCGAGTTCCGCTCTGGCCCCGAGTTCGAGTTCAGCCCTAAGTTTGAGTTCTGGTCCCACATCGGATCCGGGTTCAAGTTCCGTTTCAACCCCTAATTCAAGTTCAACCCCAATTCAGCTCCGGTCCCGGGTTCAAATCCTTCCCCTTCCCTCCCTCACCCCATATCCCCCCATTCCCCCTATACAACTATATACACCCCGAACCCGGCGCCGCGCTACGTTTCCCGCCCCCATTCAAACCCAAGTTCAAATTGTAGTTTGAGTTCGAATTGTAGTTCGGGTTCGAGTTGCAGTTTGAGTTCATCCGCCAACCCCATCAGTGCGCTACAATTCCCAACCTTTTCAGCCTCATTGGAACCCGCAACCCGGCGCCGCGCTACGTTTCCCACCCCCATTCGAACCCGAGTTCGAATTGTGGCTTGAGTTCGAATTGTAGTTCGGGTTCGAGTTGCAGTTTGAGCTCGTCCGCCAACCCCATCAGTGCGCTACAATTCCCAACCTTTTCAACCTTTCCCAGAACCCGCAACCCGGCGCCGCGCTACGTTTCCCACCCCATTCAAACCCGAGTTCGAATTGTAGTTTGAGTTTGAATTGTAGTTTGAGCTCGTCCGCCAACCCCATCAGTGCGCTACACTTCCCACCCTCCACAGCCACATTCAAACCTGCAACCCGGCGCCGCGCTATGTTTCCCAATCTTTCCAGAATCTTTCCCACCCCATTCGAACTCGGTGCTGCGCTACAGTTCCCATCCTTTTCACCCTTTCCTAGAACTCGCAACCCGGCGCCGCGCTACGTTTCCCACCCCATTCAAACCTGGTGCTGCGCTACAATTCCCACCCTCTCCAGCCACATTGAACCCTCAACGCAGCGCCGCGCTACAATTCCCACCCTCTCCATCCCCATCCGAACCTGCAACCCGGCGCCGAGCTACGTTTCCCAATCTTTCCAGAACTTGCAACCCAGCGCCGTGCCACAATTCCCACCCTCTCCAGCCACATTCGAACCTGCAACCCGACGCTGCGCTATGCTTCCCACCCTTCCCGGAACCCGCAACCCGGCGCCATGCTACGTTTCCGACCCCATTCGAACCTGGTTGTGCGCTACAATTCCCAACCTCTCCAGCCTTTCCCAGAACTCGCAACCTGGCGCCGCGCTACGTTTCCCACCCTCTCCTGCCACATTGAACCCTCAACGCAGCGCCGCGCTACGTTTCCCACCCCCATTCAAACCCGAGTTCGAATTGTAGTTTGAGTTCGAATTGTAGTTCAGGTTCGAGTTGTAGTTTGAGCTCTTCCACCAATTCCCACCCTGCACAGCCTCATCCGAACCCGCAACCCGGCACCACGCTACGTTTCCCACCCCCATTCAAACCCGTGTTGGAATTGTAGTTTGAGTTCCCACCCTTCGAACCCAGAGCCATGCTATGTTTCCCACCCCATTCGAACCTGGTGCTGCGCTACAGTTCCCATCCTTTCCAAAAACTCACAACCTGGCCCTGCGCTACGTTCCCCACCTCATTCGAACCTGCAACCCGGCGCTGCGCTACGTTTCCCACCCTCTCCATCCCCATCCGAACCCGCAACCCGGCACCGCGCTACGTTTCCCGCCCCATTCAAACCCGGCGCCGCGCTACGTTGCCCCCCCTTTCCAGAACCCGCAACATGGCACCACGCTACGTTTCCCACCATTTCCAGAACCCGCAACCCGGCGCCATGCTACGTTTCCCACCCCATTCAAACCTGGTGATGCGCTACGTTTCCAACCTCATTCGAACCCGGCGCCGCGCTACGTTTCCCACCCTCTCCATCCCCATCCGAACCCGCAACCCGGCACCGCGCTACGTTTCCCACCCCATTCAAACCCGGCGCCGCGCTACGTTTCCCACCCTTTCCAGAACCCGCAACCCGGCGCCATGCTACGATTCCCACCCCATACAAACCAGGTGCTGCGCGACGCTTCCAACCTCATTCGAACCCGGCGCCGCGCTACGTTTCCCACCCTCTCCATCCCCATCCGAACCCGCAACCCGGCACCGCGCTACGTTTCCCACCCCATTCAAACCCGGCGCCGCGCTACGTTTCCCACCCTTTCCAGAACCCGCAACCTGGCACCACGCTACGTTTCCCACCATTTCCAGAACCCGCAACCCGGCGCCATGCTACGTTTCCCACCCCATTCAAACCTGGTGATGCGCCACGCTTCCAACCTCATTCGAACCCGGCGCCGCGCTACGCTTCCCACCCTCTCCATCCCCATCCGAACCCGCAACCCGGCACCGCGCTACGTTTCCCACCCCATTCAAACCCGGCGCCGCTACGCTTCCCACCCTTTCCAGAACCCGCAACCCGGCGCCATGCTACGCTTCCCACCCCATTCAAACCTGGTGATGCGCTACGTTTCCAACCTCATTCGAACCCGGCGCTCGCTACGCTTTCCCATCCTTTCCAGAACCCGCAACCTGGCACCACGCTACGTTTCCCACCATTTCCAGAACCCGCAACCCGGCACCACGCTGCATTTCCCACCCCATTCGAACCTGGCGCCGCGCTAGAACTCCCACCCTTTCCCATCCACACCCGAACCCGCAACCCCATCAGTGCGCTACAATTCACAACCTTTTCAGCCTTTCCCAGAACTTGCAACATGGCGCCACGCTACAACTCCCACCCGCTGCAGCCCCATTCAAACCCGCAACCCAGCGCCACGCTACAATTCCCACCCCATTCGAACCTGGTGCTGCGCTACAGTTCCCATCCTTTTCAACCTTTCCCAGAAACTGCAACCCGGCGCCGTGCTACGTTTCCCACCCTTTCCTAGAACTTGCAACCCGGCGCCACGCTACAATTCCCACCATTTCCAGAACCCGCAACCCGGCGCCGCGCTACAACTCCCACCCTCTACATCCCCCTTCGAACCCGCAACCCGGCGCCGCGCTACAACTCCCTCACAGCGCGTTGGCCCTCAGGAACAGCAGCTTGTTGGCTTCCTCCGCCCCCAGCCCCCTCCTCCTCCGCATCCCCTGCGCCTCTTCGCAGAAGCGGGCGCCCCCAACCCGGGCGCCCACCGCCGGCACCGCCAGCAGCCACAGCGCCAGCCGCGCCAGCCGCGGGTGCGAGGCGCCCGCCCAGTACTGGAACAGATCCGTCGGCGCCGCCGCGTTGGCCTCCCTCAAATAGGCGTACACTTCCGCCTCCTCGGCGCCCGGCGGCGCTACGTCTCCCGCCGGCCGCATCTTTTTCGCGGCGCCGGGTTCGAGATCCGGCTCGTCCGCCAACTCCAGCAGCTGGCAGACGTTGGCGACGATCTCGTCGTGCTGGTAGGTCGGCGCCGGGCGCAGCTTCTGGCGCGGGTCCAAAAACATGGCCGCCTTGTGCGCCGGGTGCAGCTTGAAGTTCTCCTTCAGGGCCTCCAGGAAAAGATGGCAGAGTTTGCTGACGACTCCGGCGTCGCCCGCTTTGGAGGTGAACAGTTTTTCCAGGCGCACATAAGTTGGCAACACCAGTTGGAGCGTCGGGCGCCCTTCGGCGCCCAGTTCGGCCACCGCCTGCTTGACTGGCGCCAGTAGCGCCGCTAGGTTTCCCAGCAGCGCCCGGTTGAGCTGGGCGCCGCCTTCCGCCGCTCCGGCGCTACGACTCCCAGGGTTGCCCCCTTCCCGCCGCTCCTCCGCTCCGGCGCTCGAACTCCCGGCCAGTTTCCCGGCGCTACGACTCCCGAGGTTGCCACCTTCCTGGCGTTCGTGTGCCGTCGCTCCGGCGCTGTCACTCCCGGCGCTACGACCCCCCAAGTGGCCACCTGCCAGCGCCGTCGCTCCGGCGCTGTAACTCCCGCGCGGGGTGCCGGCGCTACGACTCCCGAGGTTGCCACCTTCCCGCCGCTCCTCCGCTCCGGCGCTACGACTCCCGAGGTTGCCACGCTCCTGCCACTCGTGCGCCGCCAGAAGAGCGTCGGCCGGAGAGTGCCAGCAGGGCGGCGCCGGGGCGGCGCTAGGGTTCCCAAAGTCGGCGCTACGGTTCCCAAAGTCGGCGCTACGACTCCCAAGCGGGTTCACTTTGGCGCCACATACTGCGTCCGCCGGCGGATCCAAACACGGCGCCGCTCCGGCGCTACGACTCCCAACTTCGGCGCTACAACTCCCAACCAGATCCACGCAGGTCGCCAACAGCTCCGCCACCTCCGGCATGCCGCGCGCCTGCAGCGCCCGTTGGCTGAGGCCGCCGGCGACGGCGGCGTTGGAGGGCGCACCCGGCGCAGCGCAGGCTGAGCCCGCTCTTCCCCAGACCGGGCGCCACGGCGCTGTCGCTCACGTAGGCGGCGCGGGTCTCGGGCGCCACGAACTCCGACAGGACGTTCTGGACCCAGAGCTGGACGGGTTCCGAGGCGCCGGGTTCGCGGACGGCCAAGACGTAGGAGCGCAGGCGCCCGGTTTCGACCCGGTGCGCCGACAAAACATGGCCGCCGCCCGGGTGCGCGTGGCAGGTGACGCCGATGCCGCGCGCGGCGCCCAGCGCGCAGGTGACTTTGACCTTGGCCTGGTTGTACATGCGGGGCAGCTGCTGGAGCGCCAGCGCGCTAAGGTTCCCGAGGGCGTCGGCGAGGGCGTAGGCGCCGTGCCGGGCGCCGCTGTCGACGAGGGACTGCGCCAGTTTCTGGAACTCGGGGCCGGAGAGGGCCGGCAGGAGGGCCGGCTCGGCGCAGGCCAATCGGAGGAGGCGCTCGGCCAGGGCTTGGCGCTCCTTGTCCGGGAGTTGTAGCGCTGGGGGGGGAGAAGAGGGAGAGGGTTAGGGAACTAGAACTCCCGGAGGGAACTACAACTCCCATGAGCCTTAGCTAAGAGGGGCAGTGGTTAGGAAACTATAAGTCCCATGAGCCAGTGGGTTTTGGAACTACAACTCCCATGAGACTTAAGGAAACTATAATTCCCATGAGCCAGTGGGATTCGGAACTACAACTCCCATGATCCTTAGCTAAGAGGGTCAGTGGGTTAGGAAACTATAACTCCCATGAGCCAGTGAGTTTTGGAACTACAACTCCCATGAGACTTAAGGAAACTATAACTCCCATGAGCCAGTGAGTTTTGGAACTACAACTCCCATGAGTCTTAAGGAAACTATAACTCCCATGAGCCAGTGAGTTTTGGAACTACAACTCCCAAGAGACGTAAGGAAACTATAATTCCCATGAGCCAGTGGGATTTGGAACTACAACTCCCATGAGACTTAAGGAAACTATAATTCCCATGAGCCAGTGAGTTTTGGAACTACAACTCCCATGATCCTTAGCTAAGAGGGGAGAGTGGGTTTGGGGACTACAATTCCCAGCAGACAGTGGGGTTTGGGACTACAATTCCCAGCAGACAGTGGGGTTTGGGAACTACAATTCCCATGAGCCAGTGGGTTAGGGAACTATAACTCCCGGGAGCGAGTGGGGTTTTGGGGACTACAATTCCCATGAGCCAGTGGGTTTTGGGACTATAACTCCCAGCAGACGGTGGGGTTTGGGACTATAATTCCCAGCAGACAGTGGGGTTTGGGGACTATAATTCCCAGGAGACGGTGGGGTTTGGGGACCACAATTCCCATGAGCCTTAGTTAATAAGGGGAGTGGATTTTGGGACTACAATTCCCATGAGCCAGTGGGTTTGGGGAGTATAATTCCCATGAGCTGCAGGGGTAAGGGAACTATAACTCCCAGCGGGAACTATAACTCCCAGCGGGAACTATAACTCCCAGAAGGAACCATAACTCCCAGTAGGAACTATAACTCCCAGTAGGAACTGTAACTCCCAGAGGGAACTGTAACTCCCAGTGGGAACTGTAACTCCCAGAGGGAACTGTAACTCCCAGTGGGAACTATAACTCCCAGAGGGAACTATAACTCCCATGAGGAACTATAACTCCCAGTAGGAACTATAACTCCCAGTAGGAACTGTAACTCCCAGAGGGAACTGTAACTCCCAGAGGGAACTGTAACTCCCAGTGGGAACTATAACTCCCAGTGGGAACTGTAACTCCCAGTAGGAACTGTAACTCCCAGAGGGAACTATAACTCCGAGAGGGAACTATAACTCCCAGAAGGAACTATAACTCCCATTAGGAACTATAACTCCAAGAGGGAACTAGAACTCCCAGAGGGAACTACAACTCCCATGATCCTTGGCTAAGAGGGTCAGTGGGTCAGAAAACTATAATTCCCATGAGCCGGTGGGTTTTGGAACTACAACTCCCATGATCCTTAGCTAAGAGGGTCAGTGGGTCAGAAAACTATAATTCCCATGAGCCGGTGGGTTTTGGAACTACAACTCCCATGAGACTTAGCTAAGAGGGTCAGTGGGTTAGGGAACTATAACTCCCGAGAGGCGGTGGGGTTTGGGGACTACAACTCCCATGATTCTTAGCTAATAGGGTCAGTGTGTTAGGAAACTATAATTCCCATGAGCCTGTGGGATTTGGAACTCACAACTCCCATGATCCTTAGCTAATAGTGTCAGTGGGTTAGAAAACTATAATTCCCATGAGCCAGTGGGTTTTGGAACTACAACTCCCATGAGACTTAGCCAAGAGGGTCAGTGGGTTAGGGAACTATAACTCCCATGAGCCTTAGCTGAGAGGAGGAGTGGGTTTGGGGACTACAATTCCCAGGAGGCAGTGGGTTAGGGAACTATAACTCCCAGAGGGAACTGTAAGTCCCGGGAGGCGTTGGGGTTTGGCTACTACATTCCCATGATCCAGTGGGGTTTGGGACTACAATTCCCATGAGACTGGGGTTTTGGGACTCGACTCCCATGATCCTTAGCTAATGGGTGCAGTTAATTTTGGGACTCCAACTCCCATGATCCTTTGCTAACAGGGCCAGTGGATTTTTGGGACTCCGACTCCCATGAGCCAGTGGGGTTTGGGGACTCCAACTCCCATGATCCTTTGCTAACAGGGCTGACTGGTTTGGGGACTCCAATTCCCATGATTTAGTGGGTTTCCGCACTACAATTCCCATAATCCTTCGCTAATGGGAGCAGTTGCTTTTGGGGACTCCAACTCCCATGATGCAGTGGGCTTTGGGACTCCAACTCCCATGATCCTTAGCTTATAAACCCCATTCCTTTTGAGACTCCAACTCCCATGATCCTTTGCTAACAGAACCAATGGATTTTTGGACTCCAACTCCCATGATCCTTAGCTAACAGGACTCCAACTCCCATGATCCTTAGCTACCAGGCCTGATTCCTGTTGGGACTCCAACTCCCATGATCCTTAGCTTATAAACCCCATTCCTTTTCGGACTCCAACTCCCATGATCCTTCGCTAACAGAACCAATGGATTTTTGGACTCCAACTCCCATGATCCTTTGCTAAGAGGAGCAGTTAGTTTTGGGGACTCCAACTCCCATGATCCTCAGCTACCAGGCCTGATTCCTTTTGGGACTCCAACTCCCATGATCCTTCGCTAACAGGACTCCAACTCCCATGATGCAGTGGGCTTTGGGACTCCAACTCCCATCATCCTTAGCTTATAAACCCCATTCCTTTTATGACTCCAACTCCCATGATGCAGTGG